GATGAATTTCACTGTCCTCCTCATGTTCATGATGTTTACGCCCTGCACAATGTATCATTCCAGCTCATCTCCTTCCTCCTCCTCCTCCTCCTCCTCCTCCTCCCTCTCTCTCTCTTCTTCACTCCTCTTCTTCCCCTTATCCGCTTCCTCACAGTCGAGCAGGCGGGGGACGAGGTGTTGGACAAGCACGGGTTCGCTGGCAGCTGAAACCCTTCCACGAACCAGCAGGTCGGCAGCCTGCTGTTGTTGTAGATCGCCCAGCCAGGATCCTGCACACAAAACTGATCAGGCTCGTCGTCCTTGTCCTCGTTTCGTCCTCCTTGTTCTCGACCTTACTCTGAGACTCGGCCTCCCCCCTTGTCCCTCTCTCCCTCCATTACTCTCTCCCCTCCCTCCCCTCTCCTTCTCCAGCTCCTCCTCCTTCCCTTCCTTCTCTCCCTCTTGTCCCTCTCCCCTCCAGCTCTTCCTCCACCTACGTTGGGGTTGAGAGGATTGGAGCTGGTGGGGGGCATGCGCATGAGAAAGGGGGTGCTGGAGGTGATGGTGCCGTTCTCTGCCCCAGGGACGAAGGTGAAGTCGGTCTGCTTGAAGTAGATCGGCGTGCTGACTTGCTTCTCGCTTCCGGAGATGGGGACAGAACCGATGAGTATGCGCTCGAAGTCGAGGTTCTGCGAGGAGAGAGCCGTCCTGAGAGATCCTAGGGGATGATGAGAGGCAGGCAGGAGGAAGAAGGAGCGACGAGGGTGCACGGGGTAAAGAGGAAGAGGGGATGGCAAAGTGGACAAAATGGAAGTGTAGGAGGAGAAGAGAGGAGAGGAGAAGAAGAAACAGGAGAAGAAGAGACGAGAGGAGGAGCACAGAGAGAGAGGAAGGGAGGAATGGAGAGAGTAAGAGGGGGGAGAGGGAGAGAGGGAGGGAGGGAGGGGGGGGGGAGGAGGAGCGAGCAGCAGGAAGGTGGGGGGGGGGCGGGGGGGGGGGAGTTCTTCGGATCCACTCTTTGACGGCGGTGGTGAGAATCTCGGCGTTGTAGGAGTCGCTAGCAACCATGCGAACAACCTGCAAAGTGGAGAGCGATGAGACTAGGAGAACAAACAGGAGGAAACGTCAAGGAACAAGGAGCAGTCAGAAGGGAAGGCGGGGAACAAGACAGCAAGAGGAAGAGATGAAAGCTACGAAGATGATGCTCATCACCGCCAACAACGTCGCTCCGTCCGCGTCCTGAGGAATGTCCTGCATCGCATCGACGAGGATCCCTTGACATTAAGACTCAGACTCTTGCTCGAAGGGGGAGACACAAGAATCTTCCGTAGGAGGAAACAGCGGAATGGAGAGCGAGGAAAGCGCAGTGAAGAGGAGAGGAGCAGGAACAGAAGAAAGAGAGGAGGATAAGGGGAAGGGGGGTCGACGGGGAGTTCAGGGAAGGGGAAGGAGCAAATACCTTCATCAGCGTTGTAGGTGACCGTGACGGATGTCTTTAGGTACAAGCTGTGGAGAGCGTCTTTGAAGAGGATCAGGTTGTTGTATCCTCCTGTCGCAGCGCCTGTGTAGAAGGTTGATCTCTTGGCCTGGAAGCCCACGAAGCGGAAAGCAACGAGCACGCCCTCGATCGCCTTGCAGTGCTGCGGGTTGTCTGCAACGGAGAGACAAGACTTAGAAGGAGCAGCCGTCGGCCCCACGCACCTTCCCCCCTCGTCCCTTCACCTTCCCCCTCGTCTCCCCTCTCCTCACGTTTTTTTCGCTCCTTCCTCCCCCTTCTCCGTCTTCCTCCTCTCCTCTCCCCATCAATCTCAGCAGCTCTCCCTCCACACACCTTTTCCGTTTCCGGGGTTCGAGAAGTACGTGCTCACGACCACGACGATGATGAAGGCCGAGAGGGCGAGGAACAGCGAGAGCTTGCCCGACAGGCGCTCTGCCGCCCTCCTCGACTTGACATACCGGATGCCGAACAACCAGACAGGACAGACGAAGAATCCCGCGAGGAGGATGATGATGGGGATTTTGTCCAACTCCTCGTCATCGACGAACTCCTCGGCTATCTCAACGTCCGGAGCAGGGTCGAGGACGATCTTCTTCCTCCCTTTCTTCCGCCCCTTCGTGACCTTGAGCTCCCCGTTCGTCTTTGGGGAAAACTCGTTCATGAACTCGATATAGTTCACCAGCTTCTCGAAGCCCATGGACTGATCCTTGGCCAGGTTTTCGAACACGTGGTCAAGCAGCACCTTCATCTGCACCGCCGACAGCCCGATGTGCATGGCCAAGATCGCCTTCTCGAACTCCAGGCGCGTGAGCAAGCCGTTGCCGGTCGCGTCCAACTTCCTGAAGATGTTCCTTGCGTCCACAATGTTGTTGGCGAGGAAGTAGTCCAACTTGAATCGCACTGCCTCCAGAGTCCTCTCCCTCTCAATGGCGTTCCCGACCCCGCCCTCCCTAATGACCCCCGCGTCGCTGATCACGATCTTTCCCTGCTGCTTCTCCAGCTGCTTCCATGCCTGGTACATCTCTGCGCTGGTCGTCCCACCGAACTTGGGAAGGACGTCGGAGGTAGACTTCACCTGAGCCTTGAATCCCTTGCCTCCTGCACTCAAGTCAGCCGTCAGCATCCCCCAAGCATGTCGCTGACCCTTCATGCTACGCGGAGCCACAAGCCCCTGCGTCTCAGTGCTAGGGAACTCCTCGATGAGCACAGGCTTCACGGTTAGGAACGACAGGTCCCTTCCCCCGCCCACCTCCTGGCTGTCCTTGGACATGGAGGAGCTCGAGTGCTGGTCGCCGCTGCTGGACATGGTGAAGGAGCGGGTAGTGTTCTACAGCTTGCTGAATCAAACGGACCGAGGCAACTCTTCTCTTGGCAGCTTCATTGAGCGCGGTCCCTGTACATCTGCAATGGGCAAAAGAACGTCAACGCGTCGAGATGTTCAGGCAGATGGAACTCTATCATGTGAGATGCCAAAATCTCGTCACCTTGCTCTACCTGCATTTCAGATGTGGCAACCTTATTGTTTACCTTTCTTATGTCCTCAGTTATCACACTCCATCTTTCATAACACCTCAGGCGTTCCCTGTCTCTACCTCCGTTGATACTCCCCGTTGCTCTCCCCTCAGGCATGCTTGCTCTCAATCCTCTTCTGTCCTGAGCTCTCTTCTTTCTCTTGTCCCCATCCCCCATCTCCTTCTGCTTCATCGCAGGCGCTCCTCCTCGCCTTCCGCGGCTGAACCCTCCCTGTCAGCGGCAGCCATGGCAACAGTGTGGATCCTGGGTCATCTCGAAATAAAAACCAAGACTCAGAAAAGAAATTATTCAGTACAAAAAGTCTGAGGCAGGCTGTATATATATATCAGCTTATTGTTGACTGATAAACTGTTCATCTTTCGATCGGATCTCTGTTCCATCTCAAGGGGCAGGTCAAGACTTGACAAGAGACCCGCCTCAGAACTTTGCTGGGCGGCAAGGCGGGCCCGGACTACTCACTCAGGCGGGCCGCCGCCACGTGTACACGATGGGTGCTTCTAGTACAAAATCGTAGCAGGAAGTAGGGTGGGGTACAATTCTTTTCTTTTAAGATACGAATATATTGGTTTTATAGGTTATCGATACATCAACATATATTAGTTAATATTTTCTTTCACACGCGCTGAGCTGGGGGATAATTGGGGTCCAGTTTTGATCAGGATGCTTGTAGGGGGTAGGGGTAGTGAAAGTAAGGGAAAGTACCGGTACTTAATAGGCAATAAAAGAGGAGTTGAGGTATGAGGATGGTGGTAAAAGTAAGGTGGGGAGGTTTTGGTTGAATCGTGGTGGGGTAGTAACAAAGGGGTAGTCAGTATGGTCCAATTTTATTCATCTTTAATATCAGGGGTAGGGGTAGTAAATTGTTGGTGGATTCATACAGTTTGGGGGGTTGTCAATTGAACTCTCACTGGTGGTATATTTTTGTAGTAGGTGGGGGTATTTTTCCGGGGTGGGGGTGGGAGGGGTAGGAGTAAGGAGGTGGCACCGGCGTGGGCAGCGGCAATGGAGAGGAGGGAGGAGGAGGAGAGGGAAGAATGGAGAAGTCAAGAAGAAAGCTAGCGCAACATGCAGTAGAAAATCATGGCAGTTGCAAGACAAGGGCAGAGGATGAACAGGAGGATGGGGAGTGAACAGGAAGGGAGAAAGTTGAAGTGTCGAGCAGTGTTTCAGATTATTTTGGGAACCATACCGGATATGGAGAGAAAGCCTTCTGAAAGACATGTACAGTTAGGAAATTCAGTCAAAACTCCAAACAGATACAGAGGGAACGATGTGTGAGGAGGTGGGCTTTAGAAGATATCACATTGGAGTTGAGAAGGCGTTGTTCGTTGCTGTGATGTTAACGACGAAAGGAGAGCAGTTGAAGATTTTGGAAGCTCGAATGGTTACAATGGCGAAAAGTTGAACATCGATAAATACATAAGACAATATGCACATGATGATAATGATTTGCCATAGTTCTCTAGAAAAGCCCATTACACGCAAGAATATTTGCAGGATTCGATGCACTTGCTGATATGATGTGAACCCATCGGATCTTTAGTTGTGATCCCATGTCGATGCTGTCATTTCCCATCAAAGAAACAATTGCTGAGATTGCTGTTGCTCAGCTTTATACTTTTCTGCTTCCCTTACTGAGAGTTTTGACGTCAGGACTCCTAGGGGCGACCAGGGTGTGATCCTCTCTTCAGACCTTGTGCGATACTTGGTTCAAACAAGTTCAAAAAGTCTGGTTGCTAAGAGAGTCCAACATGAGCTTCCCATCCGAGAAGAAGGACGACGATGAAGGTGTTGATCCCGATCACTCTGCTATTCACTCCACAACAAACGAAAGGATGAGGGATTGGTTGCAATTTACCCTTCCCTTTCTCCAGCAAAAGATTGTTATTGTCCTCGTCCCCCTAGTTTGGTTAGTTAGTATTATGATCTGACACAAAGTGGGTTGAATGTGCAGATGAAATGGGTATGTCCAGCTTTCAACAGATCACCCCTTTCTCTTGCTATGGGTAGAGACCTCATTGGATACTGTCCTGAACCGGGACAGTATCCAGCTCTACCCAAAGCAAACCACACCACATTCAGATTTGTCTGTGTTTGAGTTGACATGGTCAGTGACAACTTTCTTGCAAACACAGGTCTCGGGTACGAAAGGCCCTTCCGCGGGGTGGACAAGGCGCATGTTATTCAGGAGGCTCGAATGTTTAACGACCCGAATGTGGAGCCAGCGAGATGTATTCAGCTCATGACAAAGCTGTTGTACTTACTTGGAAAGGGAGAAAACTTCAGCTCAAAGGCATTACTATGTTATTCACTTTCAGCTCTGACCATGATGAACAGGAAAGCACAGAAAGCATTTTCTTTCCGATGACGAAATTGTTTCAATCCAAGGACGAAAAGCTTCGGCGTATGATGTACTTGGTCATCAAAGAGCTGAAGGTAATGAGCATCGTCTGTTGGTTATCGAGCGGGGCTATCGATTTCCTGACATGCTTTTTCTTTCAGCCGGATTCGGATTGTGTGATTATTGTTACTTCAACCTTGACCAAGGTTATGGAATATTGATGATAATTGCACCGATATTCAAACCGAAAACAGGATATGAATGCGACGAATGATCTTTTCAGGGCGAATGCGATTCGAGTGTTGTGGTAGGAGTATCAATGCTGGCACTCGCTGAGTCCTTTGATGTGCTCTGTACGCGCAGCACCATCACCGATACAGCGATGCTTACGGCCATTGAAAGATATCTCAAACAGGCGATCGTTGACAAACAGGTAGAGACTTTTAATGATTTGAAACACACTTCTCATGACACATATTCTCAGCCTCTCGTCGCATCTGCAGCCCTCGTTGCTGGAATGAAGCTGATGAAGGTATTGTTCAGGATATGCACTTGATGGGCAGAGATGATGCCGGTTTGTGCTTCAGTCCAACCCAGACGTCGTGAAGAGATGGGTCAATGAGATCAATCAGGCAATTTACTGAGACTCCTTGAGTTCCGATAGTCATTTTGAGCATTCAGGCTGCAAATGACAAATCTTCACAAATGGTGCAATACCACGCGCTCTCGCTGCTCTATAATATCAAGAAGTCTGATCGACTTGCGGTAAACGGATGAATACACCTTCGACTGTTTAATTTTGAATCTAGGTTTCAAAACTTGTGGCTCAACTGTCTAAGACACAATTGAAGTCACCACTAGCGCAGGTGGGAAACTACTTGTCTCTGATCTATTCCGTACCATTGACTCTCTGAACAGTGCTTGCTCATCCGTTACACCGTAACTGTGATGGCCGAGGTATCCTCAGTTCTCGCACTTCTTGCGGTGCCATGACACTGATCGTCAACGTCAGGGGAACACACAAGATCGCAGCTACTACGAGTTTCTCGAGAACTGTCTGAGGCATAGGAGGTATCGGCTTGGATGTGTGATGCCAAGATGCTGATCGCTGTATCGCAGTGAGATGGTCATTTTTGAAGCGGCGAGGGCAATCTGTCAACTTCCCAACGTCAGTCAAAGGGAGTTGACGCCGGCCATCACTGTCCTCCAGCTCTTCCTCTCTTCGCCGAAACCCTCTTTGCGCTTCGCAGCCGTAAGGGCTCTCAACAGAGTAGCCATGGCATTCCCTTTGACGGTCACCTCGTGCAACTTGGACCTCGAGAACATGATCTCAGACTCGAATCGCTCGATTGCAACGTTGGCCATCACAACGCTGCTCAAGACAGGGTCAGAATCTTCCGTCGACCGATTGATGAAGCAGATCTCGTCTTTCATGTCTGAGATTGCTGACGAGTTCAAGATCATGGTGGTGGACGCGATCCGTGCTCTCTGCTTGAAGTATCCGCAGAAGCATCGGGTGCTCATCAACTTCCTGAGCACGATCTTGAGGGAGGAGGGAGGCTTCGAGTTCAAGAAGGCCATCACTGACACGATGCTGGCTTTGATCAACGACATTCCTGATGCCGTTGAACCAGGGCTGTTGCACCTCTGTGAGTTCATCGAGGACTGCGAGTTTACCTACCTGAGCACGCAGATTCTCCACGTGCTGGGGAAGCGAGGGCCGAAAACTTCGCATCCAGGTCGTTACATCAGGCACATCTACAACCGCATCATCCTAGAGAACGCTACGGTGCGATCGGCTGCTGTCACTTCCCTCGCCAAGTTTGGAGCGCAAGTTCCCTCCTTGAGGAGCAACATCATCACGCTTCTCCGTCGCTGTGTGCACGATGCTGACGACGAGGTGCGAGACCGATCGACCTTCTACGGGACCATCTTGGCCTCAGAGTCGGAGCCCATGATCAAGAAGTACATCGTAGATGTGGTGCCTCACAAGCTTGATGGCGTGCAGAAGGCAATTGAGGATTACATCGAAGCCTCTGACTTCACAACTTCCTTCAATTTTGCCAAGGCTGTCACAATGCCCATTCACGTTCCCACCAAGGAAGCGAAGAAGACTCCTCAACAAGCGGTCGCTGAGGTCGCAGCAAATGCTGGCTCCAGCATCGCAAGCAAGCGACAGGAGACAGGGACGATCTATGCTGACCTGCTCAACCAGATCCCTGAGTTTGCAGGGTTCGGAGCTCTCTTCACGAGCTCTCCTCCCGTCAACCTTACCGAATCAGAGGCAGAGTATGTTGTCACGTGCATCAAGCACGTCTTTCCCGAGCACATCGTCTTCCACTTCAACATCAAGAACACGATGGAGGAGGAGCAGCTGGAGAACGTGTGTGTTGAGCTCGATCTCAGTGACTGCCCCGGGTGCTCGTTCGTGGCGAGCATCCCTTCAGACGCGATCAAGTTTGAGCAGCCGGGAATGGCTTATGTGGCGATCAGACGAACAAAGGCCATGGCAAACATGTTCTTGAAGAACTGCAAGCTTACTTTCGTTCGCAAAGAATATGATCCAACTAGTGGAGAGGTTGGTGTCTCATGATTTTCCTTGTTTGCCTGACGATTATGCTCCTCAGGTGGCTCCTGATGGGGACGAGGACGACTATCCTTTGGACGAGATCGAAGTTGGTCTTTCAGACTACACGAAGCCTCTGTCGCTTCCTGACTTCCGATCGGCGTGGGAGGCCATGACGCCAGACAACGACCTCTCTCAGGCACGGAGCTCCTCTCACCTCCTCAGCCTCGCGCTCACTCGCTGCTTCTGCAGGTCTTCAGGCTCGAGAAGTACAAGTCCATCTCGGATGCTGTCGTTGCGATCCAGGAGACGCTTGGGATGGATGCCTGCGAGAACAGCGCGAGTGTGTCGAGGTCAGCCGATCTTGTCCTTGACTTGCCTCCTCCTCACTTGCCCTTCTACGCAGTGCTGCCCGTCAGCACAGACTGCTCTTGTCTGGTGTGCTTCTTGGCGAATTGGCGGTTCTTGTGCGTGCAGATCTAAGGTGAGAAGCATCATCATCATCATCATCATCATCATCATCATCATCATCATCATCATCATGTGCTGCCCTGCCCCTACTTCCGGGCCATGTTGCCCGCAATGACTCCATCCTGACGTGGATTCAGGACTTCGGCCTCGAACGTGGTGGAGATGAAGTTGATGATCCGCTCGCAGACGCCGGAAGTGAGTGAGGCTGTCTTGGAGGCAGTCTCCTCATAAGACGCCTCGGCACGAGCCAGCAGCTCTCCTCCCTCCCTCCTCTCCTCGTAAGCACAGGTCGACTTGCGCTGGATCCACGACCATGGCCCGGAAACCGACGGTAGCGACCAGTCACGAGCTTCCCAGTGCCGTCTAGCAGTAAACCCTTCACACGTGATCACAGCAACAGCCGCGGAGAGACAGCAGTTACCATGCTGCTCTCTCCCTCTTGTCTGCTCTCTCCTACTTGCCCATCACACACAATTCAATCAAGAAGTTCAAGATCATCGAGTCGTGAGATGCTCTTCCTACTCGCAATCGTCTCCTGGCTCAGCACCCCAGGTATGCTAGTGTCCTGCACCATCTCCATGGCAGGAGCTTTGTAGCTGCTGCCCCTCTCCCTCCCCTTCGCCTCGAACTTCTCGATCTCCTTGCGGATGCGTTCTCTCTCGATCTCCTGCTCGTGCCCTGCTATCTCGTATGCCGCCTGCCGCTCCTCTGCCGAGTAATACCAAGTGGTGATGGCGTATCGAGGAGCCCGAGCGTCCATCACCTCGTGAGGGCATCGCTTGTCCGAGAAGAAGAGGAGGAAACGATCGAAGAGAGGATCGACATCAACAGCATCCCCGACGGCCCTCCCCGTCTCGTCTGAAGGATAGATCCTGAGCTGCCCCCCGTGCTCCGGCACCCACCCCTTGTTGACATAGTAGAGGGCAGTCAGCCTCCTGCCGTTCTTGTCGGGGTTGTCGCAATGCAGGACATACCGGCATGGCCCTCCTCGCCCGCACGGAGCTGCCTTGGACGCTCCTCCTGGGTAGCACGTACACATCAAGTTCCCCCGCTGGATCACCTCGCCTGCCAGCTCAGGGAGCTTCTCCTGAACGCGGATGATGACCTGGTCGGAGAGATCCCGGAGGATGCCGATGCCCTGGCAGTCTTTCTCCGTGCCGTTAACAAACCTCACGACGTCTCCTCTCACCTCTGCCATGGAGTACCGCAGGTTGTCGCCCGTCCTCCCCCCCGCGAGCTCGCTTAGCTTCATCTCTCCCACATGGTGCATGTGCAGTAGCTCCTCTCTTATCCTTTCAGCAACATCGACGCCCATGAAGCCGTCAATGATGCCATACCCCTGCTTCTTGAGCGACTCTGCCAGCTGCTCCCCTCCTTCTCCCCGCACGCCAGCCTCAGGGCGAGATCGGCGGCATCAGACGCGTTCTTCTTCTTCTCTTCTGCATCCTGCAGCTCTCGTCTCCTCGCGTTCGTCTCCGTCTCCTTCTCCTGCAGCTCTCGCTTCGCCTGCTCCACAGCCGCCAACGCCGCATCCCTCCTGGCCATGAGCTCCGCCAACCGTCTCTCCAGATCCGCCATAGCTCCACAGGCAGCCTACCAACGGGAGTGACTCTCAGTGACTCCGCCGCCCCCCGGGCTGCGGGAACCGGGCCCGGGGCCCGGGGTCGGGTTACAGTTTTGGTGCACATCTGACCACCGGTTGTTTTCATAGATTTTCATCTCATAATTTTGGGGTAGGGTAGTGAAAGTGAGTACCGACGGTAAGGTTGTTGCTGGTTTATGTGATGGGTGGGGTGGTGGTGGTGGGGTAGTCGGGGGTTCTCTACAAGTATTTTAATTCCATGACGGCGGTACAAAAAATGCGTCCGAAAAGATAAGGACCCCTACCCCTGATTCTCAAGTTACCCCACTTCCTTTGCAGGCGAGTACCCCCTATTTATCATACACAAGAGGGGGTGGTCTTCATCCACCTACCAGGGGAAATCATTACCCACCGCCCCCTTGCATACGAAATGAGAGAACGGGAGACAAGAAGCGACAAGACGAGACGGGAGGACGGGAGGACGGGAGGAGGTGGCAGCAGGAAGATTAGCCGCAGAATGTTGTAGATGAATGGAAGTTAGGAGAGGAGAGCTGGAACGAGACGAGACGAGACGAGACGAGACGAGACGAGACGAGACGAGACGAGACGAGACGAGATGAGACGAGTCGAGATGAGACGAGACGAGCGAGACGAGACGAGATGACACTGTGACATGGACTCTAGTGGACATCGGAGCAATCGAGTAGAAAGAGAGCGACTTATATGTTGAGGAAGGGAAGAGATCAAGGGCCTCTCTTTCGCAAAAGATTCAAGTTACATCGTATGTGAAGGATTGCAGGGCTGTAAAAGAAAATACAGTGCAGAAATGGACTTTGGGTAACGATATATTGGATTAGCACGGCAGTATGATGAACGGAAGTTGAGCTATGAGTTGAGAAAGTTGAAGACTACTGAACACGAACTCATGATATGCATACACAGGCAAATTCGACTGAAGTTTTCTGCAGCACAAACATCTCCTCATTGTACAATGAAAAAATATCTCATCCTGTGCATGATCTTTCCGCTTTCGTCATCCTTCTCAACATCAGGTGGCAGTAGCTTGTTCGTCTCGCAAGGGAGCTCTCGGCCTTTCGTCCCAAGCTCTCGGGGCCCCACATCCATCCGATGTGCCCTGCAGCCCCACGGCATAGCGGCGCCAGCGCCCGAGCGTGTGTCGCAACAGCTTCCGAACGAGCTGACGAGCGAGGACATCCGTTACATCCAAGAATCACGACAGAGGACGAAGCTAAGGGAGAACTTGGTCAGGTATGGGCTCTTGTCCATATGGATCGGAGCCCTTCTGAGTGAAAACCGAGCCTTTGCTGTATCCTGCGGTACACTTATCGCGGCCGGGTTCCTCTGGCACTACCTCGTCATCCATCAGGGCTCATTCCTGTGCGCCTCCGATCAAGCAACCATCGACTCCAGCAATTTCTTCATCGGGGAGGCAGGACGGAAGGGGCTGGGCCTGTTCTCCAAGGTTCATATCCCCAAGGGGACCTTCGTGATGAGCTACCTCGGGGAGAGGATCGATGACTTCGAGCTTCACCGGAGGTACTTCGCAGACCCCACCGCCGTTGCAGCGTCATACATCATGAAAGTGACGGAGGAGGAGTACATAGACGCCTCTGACGCTTCCAAGAGCAACTTTGCAAGGTGATGAAGTTGCTGAGCGATGCGTGTTTTTGCTCATGTCTCTTTCAAGGTACATCAACCATGCAGATCATCCTAACCTAGACAAGTTTGTGGCGAGGAAGCCCGGCGGATTCGTCAACCTCTTTGCGAACAGAGACATCGAGGCAGGAGAAGAGCTGTCCTTCAACTATGGAAGAGATTACTGGATCGCAAAGGGTTTCAAGCCAGAGTGAGACAGGCGGCAGATGTTGACGCTTCAGAAAACCTCAGTCAGATTTGCCCTCAAGTGACGCAAGAGAGCATTTTCCCCGTAGATATTGTATACTAGTTTCGTCAAGTATGAATAATTTAGTAAGAATAAAGTTTACAGTGTGACAAATGTGTATCTATAGGAAGGGATGCTGAAACGTCCAGGCCCCATGAAGTAAAGCTGAAGAACATTGGATGACGAAGTAGTCAGGTTCCAGATCGTGACCTCGAGCGCGCTGTCCGGAACCATAGGATGGACGGGCATCGTTAGTCTCTGGACGTCGTTGATGTAAACGGCGAGGTATGGGAAGCCTGCGTCAAACGAGCGAGGGGCCTTGAAGGTGATGTTCTGTGAGCCCACGACGATGTCAGGCAGAGGCGTTCGTACTCCAGCTGAGCCTATGTTGTCAAACCAGGGAGCTAGACCCCAGAACAAGTATCCCTCCAGGAACATTCCAGCAGCGATGGAGAAGAGGAAGGTGACCATGGCCGTTGGTTTGCGGCACAGCGGCCATATCAAGATGGCGGCGTAAAGGTGGTGGAAGTGCGGTCCGTAGGAGCCCTTGAGGTAGGAGATGCATATCCCGAAAATCACACCGAAGGCAGCGTAAAACGAGACGACAGACACCTTCTCTGTCCTTGTGATATCCTCGGCCCGCAAGTAACACCAGATGGCATTGATGAGCAATACCAAGAGCACCAGGAATCCGATGACCAGGAGGGCAACTGCTCCAGCGTCCGAGAAGGAAGCGTTACCCCACTCTGTGCTCCCCAGAGTGATGTTTGGCACCACCGACAGAAGGTCGTCCAGGTGCTGCATGAAGAAGACTGGAGCCAACACGCAGATCCACCGCAGCACAACCGCGTCTCTAGCCCAGGGTCCCTTGTCCTGCTTTCTGAAGAGAATTACATAGGGCAGGCCCAAGAAGAAGAAGCTAGTCCAGATGGTCTTGGATGCCGTGACGACGATTGCCTCAGGGCTGCGCTCAAACAGTCAGAGCATACCCGCTTTTCAGTGGCTGCGACAGGTTACCTGGCATTTAGGCTGAGCGTGACGAATTGAGTGTAAGTATACGCTCCTAGGAAGACCATGAAGAAGAAGAAGTCGTTGCAGGGCTCAAGGAGCAGGAAGAAGGAGAGCATGAGGAACTGGATGGAGAAGAAGACCCATCGAATGCTGTGATGGTACGAGACCTCCGCCTTCTCCACCACCAGGACTGCAGGGAAGTACCCAAGGGGTTGCGCGACCACACCATTCTGAGTCCCTCCATCGAATTTCGTGAGTCCTTCAGGCGTTTTGTCGAGACGAAACCTTATTCCTCCACCATCTGCACCAATCAGTCCCGCATGTCTTGCTGCCGCACAGATGAACGAGTTTCCAGCGTATGGTCCGGAGCCATAGAGTCGGTAGGCATACACCTGGTTGACATCGGGCTTCGCACAGTTGCTCGCACATCTCCCTTCCGACCATCCCCATGGCAGAGTCGAAGTGCAAAGCTCTCCATTATCTCCGCACCACAAAGACCAGATCCAGGAGCCGCAGGATATGGGACTGGGTGACATGTGGAATGTCAGCATGACGCATGTGATGACAAGGTAAACGACAGTCCATAGAGGAATCGCCCACCAGAACGACGCCAGGAATTTTCTCTTGCCCTCAAGTTTGATGTACCAGGGATGAGACTCCACAGACAGCTTCAACTTCATCAGCCTATCTTGGAGCAACGAGTACCGTTTGAAAAAATAATTCTCACTGCTTCCTGTTTCCGCATCAGGAATATCATCGTGATCAATGATATCCGATGAACTCGGAGCCCCTTGCTCTGTAAAGTGGGCTAAATTCTCGCTCTCCTCTTCCATAGCTTGAAGTTCCGCCGACGAAGACACCATCCTGCAGCAGTCCGTTCAAGCTTCTATCTCACCATCGAATCAGTTGCTGATGGATGAGTGTAGCTCGTTCCACCTTGAAGTGGGTCGGGTCTCTGCGTGCGCCACAAAATCTTGGTTCTCCTGCTCCTGATCCTGCTCCTGCTCCTGCTCCTGCTCCTGCTCCTGCTCCTGCTTCCTCTGCTGTCACTGATGCTCGCGTGTCCATCACCGAAAGCGCATTTCAGCAACAAAGATTTTCCGTGCCCTACAGCTATTGTAAAAGTAATTGTATGTCAGACTTTAAAACATTGTAGAAATCACAAAAACATTTTATAGGTGAATATGCAATAGAATAAATACTTGAGTAAAGTTTTGGATACTAATTTTGTGAATCATTGAGGTATGGAAGAAAGAGAATTGATGAGGCGGGTGCGGTTCTTATTCAGAGAAGGGGGTGGGGTGTCATTCATATGAACAAGGGGGTAGTGGTCATGACCATTTCCTATGGAAAGGGGGTTCAAAGATATATGAGTAGTGGGTGTCTACAGCAGTGGGTAGGGTAGGTGGTTATCTGGAGGGCTCAAAGCGGGTGGGTCCCCAGCTTCCCGCGCTTTGACGGGCAATGGAGGGAGCGCGAGTCAACACGCAGATTCTTGCACAGGTGAGAGAGGAGGGAGGAGAGGACAGAAGAGGACACTGGAGGGAGGAGAGGACAGAAGAGCACACTGTCTCATGGCAGGAGCTCATGGCAGCACAGGGCAGCACGGAATGGAGTTCAGGAGAGCATAGAGTAGGTTGAAAATGAAAGACGAGGTAGGCGAGAAAAGAAACAGAAGACAATGAAATAAGAGATGTATAGGATGTATGAAGGTCTTAATGAAATAAGATTTGATATGGGATGATTGGAAGCAATTGATAGATATAAATCGAATTTATTGCTGAGTATAAGACAAACGGAGTTTCGTGGCGAGATGTGGAGGGACTTGATTGGTTGGATCCATGCTAAAGGAGGGTGTATCAATGGCAACAGATTAGTTAGGAATCAATGATCTCGTCAGAAACTTACTCAACAGATTTCAACAATTATACTATCAGCTGAATTGATTTCTTTAGCATGTGGGCCGCAATGTACTTGTTGTAGGTCGGGTGAAGGGTGCCCAGAACGGTCAGTTTGTACACCTTGAAGGACCCGATGGAGGCGACATTGCTATCGACCGCTCCTCGTCGTCAAGACATTACGGCTCAGAATTCGTGGAGGTGTATGGAACAGTCAATAACGATCGCTCAGTCACTGAGATCAGGTCTACTGATTTTGGAAACAATTTCGGTGAGGCTGTTGATGCTTCGGTGGTTGTACTCATTTTGATTCGCAGATTTGAAGCTGTACAATGAAGCAGTGCTCTTGAGCAATGGAGAAATGAGAGAAATTTTCCATTAGATGGCTCACTTGCCGTGTAAAACAAATAGAATCTTTCAGTATGCAATCTACTTCTTCGGTTAGTTCCATTTTCCATGATGACTTTCCATTACTATGCAGTGATACCCCGTGCATCATACACCGTACTGTACTAGAGTCTTGATGCTGGCAGTATTGGTTCTGATATCCATCGTATCGCATCGCATCGAAAAGCAGTTTAATATGTCTGTGGTCTGATATGAACGCGGTTAACTTCAATGGGATACTATGATATTCATACCATGTCGCCCACTGGCATCATCGGACGGTGACAGTCTTGAATGCGCGGCCGCCTTGAGGATTAGCGGCATACTTTGAAGGTCCAAGTTGAGCGGCATGTTAATCACTGCCAGGCTCAGTCATGATCATGACTCAATCATCGTCAGCGGCCCAGCTGAGCGCCGCGGCAGCGGTGTACGCGCCTCAGTCACGTTGGAACTCGGCATCAGATGGCAGCCTCAGGCTACAATGAGTGACTATGATTGCCGTGCGGCCGCAGTCTCCGAGCAGCTGAGCTCCGCTCCGACAGTCTGAGTCATGCCGCAGTGCAGTCGACGGTATCCACCTGGCCCGGAATGTCCACACTGTGACAGCCCCAGCTGAATCTACCATGGCCCGTGGTGGTCACCAGCCGGCCCGGGAGTCACTGAGTTTCCGCGGCAGGCCGCGGTAGTAACTTGAAGCCCGGCCCGAGTCACCGTGCCGGGCAGTCATAATGTAGGGCCGTAGGTTGTAGGCTGATGAACCCCGATGGCAGCAGGGTCATTATCGTACTGATTTGCGTCGGGGGAGGGGTGATTTACCAGTGTTCTTTATAAAAAGAGGGGGTGGGGGTTCCACACAACCGGGTGTAGCCAAGCTTCGGAAAGCGTACGATCCCCAACGTCTTATCCGACTCCCACCGCCTCCGCCCCCCGCGGGGAGTCCCTGGCGCTACTAAGACACCTGCTTCTTACCCCTGCTCACCAACCCTCTGATCTATCAGACCCTTCATCTCGACCTCTCCTACGTATGTTTTCTCTTCTCATTTCGTCTCATCTCATCTCATCTCATCTCATCTCATCTCATCTCATCTCATCTCGTCTCATCTCATCTCGTCTCATCTCGTCTCATCTCATCTCGTCTCATCTCATCTCGTCTCATCTCGTCTCGTCTCATCTCGTCTCGTCTCATCTCGTCTCGTCTCATCTCTTCTCTTCTCTTCTCTTCTCTTCTCTTCTCTTCTCTACACTCATCGCCTTTGTCTCCGATTAGGCTCACACTGACACTCGGAGACACTTCAACATCGTTTCAGCCACCACAGAGCTAGCTGCTCTTTCCCTATTCCCTCTTCACGCTATTCAAATCCTTCACATCGAACAAACATCCGGTCCTTCAATTTTATTGATTCTATTCTCTGCAGCATGATGTACGATGCGCCACTGAGCAACACGCCCCTGCCGGGCAGCGTGGACCCGTCAGGTTCGGCAGCCATTGCATCGGAGAGTGCTCACACCATCAATCTTGAGAACGAGAGCGGTCTTGGGAAGTTGGGTACCACAACGACCCAAGAACCTATCGCCGAACTTGAGAAAGAATTAGAGCTCAGTGTCTTCTTGGACACCCTGGAAATCGACAAGGGGGTCGCGCACCTGAAAATTCATCGCAAAAGTCCCAGCAGTTGCCCGGTTGAGCTCAGGTCGTACATGTTCATGATACGTGCCACTACGTTCGTCTCGTCTTGTCAAGGCTTCACTTACCGGAACCGGTCGTTCTCATCCGTCACCTCTTCCGTGATGTTCGGGAAGGCACATCAGCTTTCGACGTCGTTCGAGAGTGTCACGTTGATCAAATTCAATTTCATCTCGGAATTGTTCCTGTGCCTTTTCCAGATCCTGACTTTCTCTACCACCTACAACGCAATGAAGGCCCTGGACATGTCTCAATATCAGAACACAGTTGGATTGGCAGCTTTCACTTTCATCCTGTCGCTGATTGTTGCATTCAACAACCGTCCAGCTAATAGATACTTCTGGAGACAGCCCCAACACGGCCCCCAAACAATGAGGTGGCAAATCATATACTTCAGCTATCACGTCTTGATCGCCATCCTTGTTATGATTGTGTTGATCCTAGTGAACACATGCACGAAGTGCAGTATGGGTACGACAGGAGGAGGAAACAGCGGAACACAAACATCACCCCCAGAGATAGGAGCATTCTGTCCATCGTCGAGCTCAAGACTGCATACACCAGACTTTCTTCGAGAGAGTCTGCGTATCAATGCTATCCCCAGTACTTGTGGCGTCTGCGACTCATCGAGGAAGAATGCTTGCGAGAACGGAGTTGTGATGAGTCTGGTCGTCCTGATCATGTGAGTGTTGCGTTTATGACTGTCTCTCATTGACATTGCTTTGCTACACAAGGATTCTGATCCGTGCTCCGGTCTGGTTCGTGCTGACTGCTTATGGCATGACCCGGGAAGCGGTGAAGCCTGCAGTGCTATTCCCGAGCAGATATGTCGTCTTTCATGGTCCTCCCTTTCTCGGCTTTCCCTTCGGAGCCTGCATGTCTCCTGCACATGCTCGTGAAGTCTTTGAGAACTTCAAGCGGGCAGGAGTGGACGAGCAGTTAAGCTCGAAGCTGCAGTGCTCACTCCTTGGAACATTGTGGAACTCAGTCGGACTGACGCTCTCGAGATTCGTTCGACATTAACTCAGTTGCACCCGGTGACCCGTTCAAGTGAATACGGTACCGTGCAAGCCAGTTGCTTTACTCAAAGCCAGTGACTTGATTCCGAAGTTTAGTCCTTCAATATGCCGTGACTCAGTAGAAGCCCGGCCTCAGGCTTGAAGTCACGGTACTACCGTACGGTACGGTCCGGCGCCGTCACTCGGATCATCCGAGTCACTGTGACTAGTAACGTAGTCAGTGCACTGAAACAGTCACTCGGAGGGGCCATCGGATGGCTAGTGGCGGGCGTGACCGGATCGTGCCGGCGGCTGCCCGGCCGCCTGGGTCAGCGGTCGCCCGGACCGTCGGACCGGCGGCCCTGCCGCTCACCGCCGCTCACCGTCGCGCCCCTCTGACTCCGAGTCCTGGGCCCGGCCCGGCGGCGTGGCGGCCGGGCGCCCGGCACTGAGATCCGATGATCACAGTGATCTGGCGTGACCGTCCGATCGTGTGGGGGATGAGGGGGGACGACGGAAATAGAGCGAACGGCGACATGTTCCAGGTAAAGAAAGTTGCAGATGAAACTCGAAACAGGAGGCGGGGGTATAGAGAAGATTCAAACAAGAAGATGAACCAATGATGCGAGTGTTGGTTGCATTCAAGGGCCATGACAAGTATTGAAAGGAACGGACTTGTCTTTACTAGACACTATTTCGCTCATTTAGTTTGATCCACCTGCTTGATAGTTTGATTGTGTTCTGCATGCCAGTTGCTCTGCTGAAGCCTGACATCTACCACTCTCAGACTCTATCCTACTTCAAGATAGAGAAGGCCTACGGTGGAATCACCAGTTGCGAGGAATCGCCGAAGTCCCTTGGAACAAACTGGATGGAAGGAACATGTGCTGCCTCGGGATTTTCACATCTGTGGTGATGTAATCGGATTGGCTCTGGTTGATGTGTTGATGTCTGTTCGGCAGGTCCGAGAATAGGAAGACAGGGCTGGCGACATTCAAAAACTTCAAGCGCGTTGGTGAGAAGTCTAATTGCAAGGTAGTGGAGAAATCATGGTTTACATAGTCTCCCAGGTGCCAAGTGGGACAATTCCAACAACGCAGCTTGAAATGCGTAGCTGCTTCTACAATCTCATGGGATTTAGGCAATGTAGTGTAGGATGATGGTTTCAAGTAGGGGGTGGTAGCAAATTCGTGACCAGCACACAACAGATAGAGAGTTTCTAAAACATCGGAATAACACCTGCGTGCAGATTAGCCATTGCTTGTGTCTAAATTTCGCAGATATCACCTAACGCCCAATCTCCTCTCTCATTCGCGTTGTTGGTGCTCGTTAACGAGCTCCTGTGGATCGATGAAAAAGAACGACATTGATGCAGAGAAAGGAACCCGTTCGATTGATGATTCTCTTCTTCCTCTGCTAACAATCTCTGCCAAAAGTATGTGTCAGGCACCGAGGTGAACTAGTCGTGGTCAGAAGACCTTCTCCATCTTGAGCCTCTGGATCTCTGCGCTCTTTAAAGCAAGTTCCCTCTGCAAGTGCAGAATATGGCTTTGAGCGCTGCGGAGAAAAGTAACTTCCTGAACCACTAGCAATCTTTGTCTTTGACGCATGTTAAGGGATAAACCGGTTCAATTCTTGTTTGAGTTGAGATCGGCTCGTCGATGGACTGGCTCTGAGCGATTCTGCACCGCAGATCTGACAAGACTTGAAGTTCTGAGATGGTTTCACGTTACCTGATCAGGAAATTCTATTAAGAAAGAATACTCACGTTGTCGTTCTCCGCTCCGCATTCCACACACTCGAATGAGAGGCGTTTGCCTTTTCGAGGTGTCGGAATCGACTTTGTTCCCGATGTACTCTGATGGCATGCAGGGCAGCCTGATTAACGTGATTAGATGCCGATGGTATCCTGCCACCTTTGATCTCTTGTTTGTCACATGTGATCAGCTCGTTGCACTTGGAGCAACGCGCACTGGAAAGGCTTATCAGATCGTCCTTGGCTGGATTCTTGTCCTGATGTTTCCATTCAAAGTTGCAGTTGTTGATCGAAAATCAGAATGAATGTGTCAGTTTCAGGTTTGCAATAAAGACAAGTTCAGAACCTTCTTCATCGGCGATTGTAATCTATTCTTTCTGCTGTGTACGTTGATTATGTCATTGAAATTATACTGCAATGGTTTCAAGGGGCTTCTCTTTTCTGTTTGACCTGAGGATAGCTCCTGTTCCGCTGATTTCCGGATGAGCGTCAAGTCAAGGAAGCGCAGTCAAGTCACCTTTAGCATGCTTGAACACGTTGGATAAACTCAAGGGCTTGTTGGTTGTCGCTGTAGCTGCTTCCGCACGCTGTACTGGATCAGTGAGTACAGCCTGCAGGTTTTCCTTGCTGATCACCTCAACTTCACTAGGAGCCGGAGGACAAGGGCATCGCCCCAGAAAGCTTGCATGTCTCCCGTGAGGCGAGGACTCGAAATCTTCTTCCATGTCGGGGGACCTCTCCCGGCCTCCAAGGAAACGGGACCGTGTCGTCATGGCCTGTGGAAAGGAGTTCTCACAACACACACAGCGTGTACACAGCGTGAGCAGCCAGGATGCTGGGGAGGATTCCTTGCTCTATCGAAGATGTGTAGAAAAGCAATACTCTTCACATTCAATGTTATTGTCATATCATGTGTGTGCTATGAAACACAAGATCACAAGGAAGGGATGTGTTAGAACACTAGCAAGTGTGCTTGCCCACGTTCTTGCAACCAACCGTGAACATGCATCTCCGTTTCTCCTCATCTTGACACAGGTCAACGCTATTTGAAACCGCAATTCATCAGTCAGATCGTGTCCCGTCGCTCTCACATGAGTAAGTCAGGCTGGCAACTAACCTACTAGTCATCGGTATATCCTTCTCCCCTTCCATCTTTCCTACAATAGCAATCTATTGCCATCCAGAGGCTCTTGCCATTGTCTCCGAGTCTGCCATACCGGGGTCGGTTCAAACTCTAGTTTGTCAGCCGCCGGCATCAACGGTACCCCAGGCTACCGTAATCTGAGTGACCGGACCGTACTCGTCGGCGGAGACTCTCAGGCCGCGGCGGGGCCGGGCCGGCCGGTCACCGGGTGATGCCATCGGCCCATGATCATCCGATGATCCGGCGATCACTGAGTCATGCCTGAGGCTCCGGCGCGGCCGGGAGTCCGGCGCGGCCGCAGCCTGGGGCCTCGGAGGGCCGCCAGCCTGACTCAGCAGTGTTGGCACGGTCCGAACTTCGGAATCATGATGTCACTGAGTCACACCCCGGCGAGTTCCGACCGCCGAAGGGCCCGGCGGCGGCCGACCGTGACCGTCGACGGTCAACGGTCCGGGGCCCCCGCGGTCTCGGATTCACTGAGGGAGGCTCAGCCTGGCAGTCGGACTCCCCGGAAGCCTGATGAAGAGTCTTGAGTGAGTCAGGTGTCACGTGCCAGTCACTAGTCGGATTGAGTCACGGGCCTCGTACCAGGCTGACATGATTTTTTAACTTAACTTTGAGTAAACGAGCAGTCACGTAGTAGTGAAAAGTGAAAAAATCAGTACCACGAGAACAATCAGGAGCGCGTTGAGTAAAAAGAGTAGTACGTCTTGTCCCGGCCAACGTCTCTACGTGACCAGGTGGTTCAGGCTTCCGGCAAACTAGTAGTAAAAAATACTAGTAGTACCGGTAGTAGTACGGGGTCCGGGGGGGGGCACGGTTAGAATGGTAGGGGTAAACTGCTAAAACTGATACTCCGAAAGTTCCGGTACAGTTAAGGAGTAGGAGATTCCATTGCTTTTCCACGAGATTGGTACAAATGAATACTACTGGTTGGTCTCTACAATATAATTATTGATGGATATTTGTACCTGATTGAAAAGAATCGTACTCAATATGGTACGGTAATTCCTCCATTTTCAACGATACCATTGTACTATTTATCATATCCTAATTATTTATAACCGTTTTAGAATTCATGCAATAATCTTATTAATTTGAAGGAAAGGAGCAAACTACAAAAATGATTTGGGGTCGACTACCCCCCCTTTCATAGTCCCCCGCTTGCTGGGGTAAAATCACCCACCCTGAAGCTCGCTCAAGGAAAGTTGGTGGGGGCTCTATTCCGGCGCCATGTCGCCTACGATATCTTGAGGAGGAGCGAACATGCGGGATGGCAGCTGAGAGGATGAGGAGAAACTTCGATCCCTCACATATCGCACATAGAGACATCCTCAAGCCTGCTCCCCACATGTTGCGGAGTGTCTGGAAGCTCATCGTCGTTGTGAGCTTGTTGGGAGAAGGCGGGTTCTGCTCGAAGTCCCAGGATGCAGGCTCTACCGCTTCTTCGTTGCGTAGCAATCAGCCGTCATCGACGAATGTGATTCATCTTCTTTCAATGTGAATGTCCTCTTTACTAAATCGATCCGCAGTATACCATTACGAAGATGGTTGGGGGTACCGCGCATACCTGTGCGTTGTTTTCCATCGGCCGGATCAAGTGCTGGGGGTTGAACGACAAGGGGCAGCTCGGTCTAGGACATTCAAACTCTGTTGGGGATTCAAGCAATGAGATGGGGAACAACCTTCCGTTCCTGGACCTTCCGGCGATGGCAAAGGATATCTCGGCTGGATGGAAGCACACATGTGCCTTGTTTGAAGACGGTTCCGTCCGATGCTGGGGAGCAAACGATTACGGTCAACTAGGTCAGGAGAATACGCAGACTTTAGGGCGGTCACCTTCATCGGTTCCATCACAAATACCGCGAATCAAACTCGGGAGTTGGTATTTTGCTTCCAAGATTTTCTCCAACGAGGTACTTCTTTAGTTTGCAAGCTCTAGAAGGTGACGTCATCCTTCTAGAACTACAATTGTGCAATATTCACGAACGGCAAGGTCAAATTTTATATTGGACGATATCTCATCAGTGATGTATTCTGATACATGAAAGCAGGCGAAGTGTTGGGGAGAAGGATCAAATTATCAATTGGGATATGGTTGGAACTGGAATGCAATTGGTGATCAGGTTGGAAATGACTTCATACTCTTGTTTATTGATTTCTTTCTCTCCTGCAGGCTGGTGATATGGGTGACAATTTGCCTGATCTTGATCTGGGCTTCGAACCTATTCAAATTTCGATGGGAAAAGCAAGTGTTTGTGCCTTGTCTGCCGATAGTGAGATGAAGTGTTGGGGTTACAATGGTGGTTCCACATACAACGTCATAATGGCAGGATACAGTTGGGCTGTAGCATTGTTGTCTTATACTTCAGATGTGGATGTGGGAAGCTTGACGATTTCCAAGGTCAGTGTTGGAGACGTCTCGGGGTGTGCTCAAACTAGCACAAATAACGTAAGATGCTGGGGCTACAATGCAAAGGTGAATTTCATGGGATCACCATCATGATCAGTAACACATGAATTTACAGGGTCAAACAGGCTATCCGTCATCTGTAAAATCAACTGATTTGAAGGTATTCTCACCTTGCTTTCGTTTCATGAACCTAGTTGACTCTGTGCACAGAACCTTCCCGATCTAAACTTTTCTACAACTTGTAACGTGGTGGATATCTCAACATCCTGGTCATCTACATGCGTTTTATTTGACTGTGGAAAGATCAAGTGTTTTGGAATCAACGATGACGGAGAGCTGGGATTGGGAAGCGTTTCATGGAGTGCAGTTCCACAATCCTTTACAAACTTGGGTACTGGGCTTGTAATCCAAAACGTTTATGTCTTTCCATACCACTCATGTGCAGTATTCACGGACAATTCGGTCAAATGTTGGGGATTCAACTCTGATGGACAACTTGGACTAGGGGATAAAGTTCCACGAGGAAAACTACTGTCTGATATGGGCGATAATCTTCCATTTGTTAATTTAGGATATGTGAGTATTGTCCTAGTGCTTGAGACTTCCTTTGTTGAACCCCTGCTTTGATTGTATTGTTTTGAAGTTTTTGTTTGTATTTTTGTTGATGTAAACTGAATTTCATTGTTGAATCAGATTCCCTTGCAGAATACCACAAACAGTGCAGGTGGTTGTCCTCAATGTCAGGTAAAATATCTCCTCAGAGAGCTGTCATATTCTTGAGACTAAGTGAGTTCAACAGCCTGCGAATTGCCAAAACACCACCATAGTTGTTAATCGTACAATTGTCAAAGAGATATACGTTATGGTGAAACAATTGTCGATTTCGAAAACATGTTGAATTCTTCCACAGGTTGAGGTTCCTGTTTACATAAATCGGACAATATACATCAACAATACTGTATATACGCCGATTGAATGTTCCGAGTGCACAAACAGGACTATCTACGTAAATCGCACAACTTACGTCGATAGGACCATCTACGTCAACCGGACCATCTACGTCAACCAGACGGTGCCCGGAGAGTGCTCCTGCTTGTACGACGACATGGGGGTAAGGAACGCCTGAGACACGATGGAGAGGATCTCGTAGGGACGAGCGGAGGGGAGAAGAAGGATGAACGTGAGAGGCTGGGACAGAGGCAGGAGGGGGCCGGAGGAGAGAAGGAGAGCGTGTGGACTAGGTGCAGGACGGACCATGGAAGACGAGGGAGGCGGGGTGGTTTGAAGGGGCGGGCCAGGGTGAAGGGGAGGGGAGGAGGGAGCAGGATGGGCGGTTGAAGAGGGTAGAGGACACAGAGGGTATGGAGCTGACGGCAGCTGGCAGAACGCGTCGGAGTGCGTGAACAGGACCATCTACGTCAACCGGACTGTGTACAGAGATCGAGAGTGTCCCACGGTAGACGAGGCCGCGGTAAGTGCTTGATGGGGAAGGGAGAAGGAGAGGGGAAGCTGACCATGCGTCCGTATCTTCATCGGGCCACACAGAACGCGTCGGAGTGCGTGAACAGGACCATCTACGTCAACCGGACCATCTACGTCAACCAGACGGTGCCCGGAGAGTGCTCCTGCTTGTACGACGACATGGGGGTAAGGAACGCCTGAGACACGATGGAGAGGATCTCGTAGGGACGAGCGGAGGGGAGAAGAGGGGAGAACATGAGAGGCTGGGACAGAGGCAGGAGGGGGCCGGAGGAGAGAAGGAGAGCGTGTGGACTAGGTGCAGGACGGACCATGGAAGACGAGGGAGGCGGGGTGGTTTGAAGGGGCGGGCCAGGGTGAAGGGGAGGGGAGGAGGGAGCAGGATGGGCGGTTGAAGAGGGTAGAGGACACAGAGGGTATGGAGCTGACGGCAGCTGGCAGAACGCGTCGGAGTGCGTGAACAGGACCATCTACGTCAACCGGACTGTGTACAGAGATCGAGAGTGTCCCACGGTAGACGAGGCCGCGGTAAGTGCTTGATGGGGAAGGGAGAAGGGGAGGGGAAGCTGACCATGCGTCCGTATCTTCATCGGGCCACACAGAACGCGTCGGAGTGCGTGAACAGGACCATCTACGTCAACCGGACCATCTACGTCAACCGGACCATCTACGTCAACCAGACGGTGCCCGGAGAGTGCTCCTGCTTGTACGACGACATGGGGGTAAGGAACGCCTGAGACACGATGGAGAGGATCTCGTAGGGACGAGCGGAGGGGAGAAGAAGGATGAATGAGAGAGGCTGGGACAAGAGGGGCTGGGACAGAGGCAGGAGGGAGCCGGAGGAGAGAAGGAGAGCGTGTGGACTAGGTGCAGGACGGACCATGGAAGACGAGGGAGGCGGGGTGGTTTGAAGGGGCGGGCCAGGGTGGAGGGGAGGGGAGGAGGGAGCAGGATGGGCGGTTGAAGAGGGTAGAGGACACAGAGGGTATGGAGCTGACGGCAGCTGGCAGAACGCGTCGGAGTGCGTGAACAGGACCATCTACGTCAACCGGACCATCTACGTCAACCAGACGGTGTATAGAGATCGAGAATGTCCAGTGATCTCATCTTCACAGGACTGCAACTTCACGGTGGGTTATGTTTGTTTTTGCTTCTTGTTTTTTGATTTTGAAGTTGATTGTACTCAGAATGTTTCTAAGGGCAACCTGCTCTGGACCTGTTCATGCATTAATCAAACCGTCTTTGTTAATCGTACTATCGTGAAAGAGCTTCCATGCTTACAAAATGCAGTAAGTGTTTGTTGTTTTTGAACTTTCTTTCACATTTTTTTGAACAGTCGTCTTCGGGTTCGAACATGGTTGATGCTGTTCGGTATATCAACACGACAATATATTTACCATGTGATGGAGGGAAGAAAGGCAATGTAAATGCTTGAATTGCAACCACCGTGTTTTTTCGAACTTACACTCAGTGTTTAAATACAGGAAAGCAATGTTATCCATAGCTCTGATGCATTTATCAATTGTTCGCAACAGGTTTTTGTTCGTTCTTCCTAGTAGATTTGTGACTTCCACCCTTGAAATCAGACAGAAATCATCAAGTACATCAATAGAACTATAGTTGTGCGCGACGTTGTTGAATCACCTCTCAATTCTTCAGCATTGTGTTCAAGATCGCAACTTTGGGTATGTATCCCTTGAATTGTATGTGTGAATTGCATTTCACTTCATCATTCAGGAAATTTTCAACAACATGTCTCTCCCAGTATTGATATCTGTCAGCGTGACGCTCCAATCAACTGTGCAAGCTTTCAACCAGGATCAGAACACCCTGCTGGATGCGATGGCTCACGTTGCTCAAGTGCCCTCCAAGAACATCGGAGTCGTGAGTGTCAAAGAAAACAATCGGCGAGCGACATCCATCGAAGTGTTGCTGATGATCGTCGCCAAGGATTCTCAAGACGCGTTGAAGATTTTGCAGCGGCTGACAACTGAAGCGGTGAATCAAGCGCTGCAGGATCGAGGACTGCCCGTTGCCGATGTTCGTAAAGGGTCCTCCGTGTCCACTTCCTCATCCGTATCGGCAGCTCCGACAGCACAAGCAGTGTCAAAGGCCTTCTCGCTTCCATTCCCAGCTGTTGTGACAGGGGTGGTGCTGGGAGGCGTCTTGCTTGCAGTGCTCTGCTTCTTTGGCTTCAGTCACTTGCGGGTCAACAGGAACAAGTCCAGCAGGATTCATCCTCGGATCTCGATCGTCCACCTTCCACCAGATGCTGGACCCGCAAACCTGGCTGACTATGTTCATCCCTTCCACGGTCAGTCTGCATCTCCGGGTCAGGCGAACGCGCGGGACAGGGCCTTGTCAATGTTCCGGAAGATATCGCTCACTCCCAGCACGGGCTCTCACATCGTGATCGATAGAGTAGACGATGGGGAGGAGACTCACCACGCTCACCAGCACCCCTGGTCTATCCGACACATACACAAGAGGAATTCCATGGCGTCAACCGATCAGCTGTCGCACGACGTTAAGAACGAGATTGTGGTTGAGGACCTCGATGAATGATAGTGAGGTATATGATGTTTTGTTGCCAGTCAAGTTGGCTTTTTGTTCATTATTGTATACTAATAAACTGAATATCTTAGTGTCAGTTAAGTCACTGGCTGTCTTTTCTCTTCTCGCCGTTTGGCCTGTGCGACAGTGTCTGAGGGGCAAGCGGCCCTCCTCTACTCTCCTGGTTGTCCTCGACTTGACTTTGAGTCAATCAGCCAGTTGAACCGGCCGCTCTCGGCCTCTCACAGTCAGCCGCGCAGCTGGCCGCCCGGCACGGGCCGCCCGGCCCGGCCGGGCCCGGGGCCCTGAGCTCGGCCGTCCGGGACTGGGAGTCAAAGTCTGAGAGTCTAATAAGATAAATTACACTGGTCAAAGTGGGGAGGGGGGCAAGACCTATTTCTGTCGCAATGGCAGACAGTGGGGGAGGAGCAGGGGACGTGACAAGAGCCGGCACATGGCGGAGGCGAGATGAGGAGGAGGAGACCTGGAAAAGAAGAAGGAGGTACAACAATCTCCATATCTCTTTCCCGACATTGGTACCCTTGCCTGACCCTACATGTTGCCTTCAGGCTAGCTGTCTTGATTGGTTGCACGGCGGTGCTGTCAGTGTATGTGATAGCAGTACACAGGTCACCTTCTCATCCTCTGCTCTTTCTTGTATTTATCATCATAACAAGCTTTCAGCTCTTTCTTGTATTTATCATCATAATAAGCTTTCAGGTCGGAGAATATCTTCAGTCCCTCTCTGCTTTGCGATTCAGACTGCATGGAAAGGTAGACTGGAACTGCACCAATACTTTTCGTGTAATTCGACTGTAGGTTCCAACTGGTGCCGAACACATACCAGTGGCTTTATCCTCAAGCATCGAATGCTGTTCCAGTCTTTCCCATGCAGTTTGCAGAGCCTGAGGACTTCACTGGCTACGGCATGTCACCGCTCAAATCTTCATTTGCAGTGCAGCCGGGGGTGGTCACTGTGCCAGTGCAACGTGTCGTTGTGCCGGGGCCGCAGATGATCGTCAAGACCATCCGCAAGATGAACCACAACTGGGGAACGAGGAGGTTGTCGAGCATGCTGGTGCTCAGCCCCAGCTGAAGGCCGTGTGTGTGCAGGCATGACGACTATGTCGGACATGTTTTCAAGGAATATCGTCCATACCCCGCATGGCGATCGCATTGGGGGACGAGGAAGCACCAAGATTACATTGATGATGTCTATTCCAAGGTATTCGAGATTCTCTCTTTCCGTCCTTGACCCATCCTGCTACAGGGCTACCGGCCTTACCCGCAGTGGAAGCGACATTGGGGAACGAGATCGCACGGTGACTTTGTCGACGACGTTTACGGGTAACGCAGAGATTTTATGCAAATCCTTCTGATTGATGTACACCATTCTCATTGGGTTTGAATCCTTCTCCTTGGTGTACACGTTCTTCGTTGTTGTACCTCCTCCTTGTACATCTTGTTGGGCCCAATCTTGATTGATTCTCCTCCAGACGACCTTTCGTGTCGTGGGATATGCCGTATGGCGTCAACCCTCCTGAGGTCGCCAGGTTCCCTCAGGACGTCTCTCATGAGGTGTCGAGGACGGCAAACCTGTCGGCAGCTGGAACGAATCAGTCGACATGGCCGCCTGTCGACCTCGGAGTTCGTGCGGGAGAACGCGGGGGAACCTTCAAGGAGGAGTGGATGGCTCCCAAGGAGTCGACCAAGATTCCCCTCCGTCGAGGAGAGCAGGGCTCCAACAACTATCGCATGTCGTGGAGGGACTACATCTCGAGCTACGGGGGAGATCGGTGAGGGTGGGAGCAGGGACGGGGGAGGGAGCTGACTCGCTGCTTGCAGTTCGGACTTGGACAAAGTTCGTGTGCGGCTGATGCAGGACGCGCTCGATCGGTTGAGGAACAAGATTGAGGTGAGGGGGTTGAAGGAGTCATCAGGCGGGGACGGGGAGGACAAGGCTGCGGATGGGCAGTGGGCGTGGCTTCCAGGGAAGACTGAGGAAGAGGCGAACAAGTATGGAGGCTACTGGGCGATAGTTCCGGACAAGGACGTCAAGGGGAAAGGGAAGGCGGAACAGCCTGCTGAGTCAACGCAGGGGCGGAAGGAGGACGTGAGAGCGATGAAGGAGGATGGATACTGGGAGGTAGTACCTGACTGAGGAGAGGGCAGATACATCTTCTTGTGCTCTCCCTCCCGCTCTCGTTCCTCCTTCCCTTCCGATTTTGAACACGGCAAGTCATCAGATTAGAAGTCTTTCACCATGTTGTCCCCTGAGGGGATGGCGATGTCATGTGATATGTTATTTTTGTGCCTCTTCTAGACCTCTTTGTACTATTGAAGTTGAAGATTGAACCTAGTTCGTGTCCACCCATCCACCATTCGAGGCTCCGTGAGGAGAGCAGCAGGAGGAGAGGGGGAGCAGGAGGAGGAGGGAGGGAGACGATGGTGTGAGAGGGTAGCCGATCAAGGCCAGGACTGAGAGATTCAGTACGGGAGGTGGTGTTATGTCATGCAAGTAAATGCGAGTGAAGACAGGACAATCACAAGAACAAGTGGTGGCGGAGTTGGCGCAGACAACGTTTGAGATGAAGATGTTTGTTAACTGTTCATTCTGTCCGACCGAACTTCCGAAACAGACGATCGCCTTCATGGAAAGGATTGCTCAACCCGAGGTGGTAAGACACCAGGGGTCAATTTGACCATCCCTTGGAGTCGAGGAGGGGGGTGGGGACATTTGAATTTGACCAGGCGTGGAGCTGCTTTTGTCAAACTGCAGTGCCGACCGACATTCCAGTCGAACGAGAGAAGGAGAGAGAGAGAGAGAGAGAGAGAGAGAGAGAGAGAGAGAGAGAGAGAGAGAGAGAGAGAGAGAGAGAGAGGATATGGGAGATGATTTCGTGGAATGTTCTTTATGAGAGATCGGCAGCAAATGCACATTCACGCAGGTTTTATTCTCAGACGTCTATCGAGTTCGTTTTGAGGCAGGACTGAATCCTGTCTTGCTATCTGTGAAAATTGCTCCGAATGGGTTGACTTCCTTGAGCAGGACATTCAATATGAGGGATTGATACCATCGCGCGATCTGTTTCTGATGCTTAAAAACTCCAAGAATGAAGCAAGCTCGAAGAAGTTGTGCAGGCCAGGTACCTGCAACCTGTTGAATGGACTTTCAATTTTGACTTCAGCTGACAGCAGCTGAGTCTAAGGGAATCAACGTTTCAGAGCTCTTG